AGAGAATGCTGTTTTTATTTCACATGAAATCGTATTAGTTTTCATCAAATTATTTTTTTTAAACCCTTGTCATAGTTTTTGCTTCAAAGCAGTTAATTTGCGTTACCGTACAGAAAACTGTACTCCGCTATTTTTTGACGCTGTACGGTGACGCCTGCTTACGCGATGGTAAGGCGTGATTTATATACTCTAGACAATGGTTCAACTTAATCGTTTACAATTTTCTTATGGACAAAATGCCAAGATTACAGCACTTCTAGCTTTGACAAAAAGAAGTAAATCGAGAATTGCATGCTAGCCATATGTTCCTGGAATAATCATCCCTTTTAATATATTCCCTCACACGACAAAAATCTGTTTTATTTGCACAGAGTAATTAAGTTGTCAGGAAATAAAAGTGACAATTGAGGAACATATGGTCTTCATGGATCGTTCACAAAAGCACCAATTAACGCATTAGAAGTTAGAATGTACGAATTTAAAGTTGAAGTAAGGATGTATCATAGAGCGATACAAACAATCTGTTCTCTTTAAAACAAAGAAATTGAAGAGAGTTGCACGTATGTTTTTGTCCTCTCTATTTGGAACATACCCTCCAACGGTTTTGCAACAGAACTCCCTATTTTAAACACAATACGGTCAGAGGTAAAAAAGGGAGAGAAAAATTTGATGAGTTATTGAAAATCGTCAAACATAAGTACGCTTTACTGCATGGACAAATCAAGGGAAAGATCAATACCCGGTGATTTCAGCGGGAAGTGGCGTTTCGTTCATTGGATGAGCTGCGCGCGCACGCATAAATGTGATTATCCAATATAATTAGGGGAGGGCTATTTGAAGTAGTTTTTGGTCTCAGGCGCGACCCAGGGCTGTTGTCTTAAGGACATTTCGTTGAAAATAAGCCATTCGGCTGATAATTGGTAAGAGTTTGCGATCTTATAATGTATAACTGTTACTCAGACACATATTTTGACACGATTTTGTTGGAAATAAGCTTTGAACCGAGAGATATTCACGATTGATATGCACATTTTTGATTGTGCCATTGCTTTTCTATTGCACAACCCATGTATTGATAGAAGAAACATTAATAATACAGATTGGTTTACCTTCAATACATGGCAGACACTACATATCGGTCTATTAATACCAGTTTGTGCTTTAAATAGTTTTATATTTCCATCCACGGCCTGGAGCCTGGGTGTGTTTGTCTCTTATGTGTATGCTTGTGCATGGACTTCTAATCACTAGCAGAATTTAACATGATGCAAACTCGACATTATAACTCATGCTGTAACATTTTGACTTCGCTGGAAAACAATAGGAATTATTTTTCTTGCCAATCAATCATGAATCACAATCAAAATTTCAGAATGATCAATCAGGCAATGATCCAAATCAAGTTATAACATTATATGATATTCAGCAAGAAGTCCGGTAGAAATACAGAATATTTAAACATCAAAGCTGAAAGTTAAAAGCTAATCTGTCAATTTACTGTCTGCAAAAGAGCGTGCCAAGAGCGTTTACATTTGACACAATAACAGACTGAGGCCTTGAAATCTAGGATTCCCCAGGAAAATATGACGTCATACTAATTAGCATAAGGATTTCCCTATTGGGGTGGGTCGAGCCTTGTTCGAAAACACAATCCATAAATACATGCTAATTTCTAAGGAGATAGGAAGTGTATAACGTGTTTATCGATTTTGTTTAAAGATTTAATCAATTATCAAATTGTTTAAGTGGATAAAGTGGTCACACTTGCTTCAATTCATAGCGAAATCGACGGATAGAAACTGACCGAACTCCCGATATCCCACCCCGTATTACTGTAGGCTATAAGCACAGTGACCTACAGAGGGCGCTATCACAAACAAGTACTGGACGAACCGATAAATTCCCGGGTATTGTAACGCCCTTGGACAAATGAGAGAGTTGGGGTTGCTAAACTTTTTGAGAGAAGTGTAAAGTACTGTTTATAATACAACATTACTCTTGATGTCTATTCAAACTATTCATCTGAGATTATTAAAATCACAAGGTAGCCTATGCATTGCAAAAAAACAAATAAAATCAGATAATGTCGTAGATCCAGACGGAACTACTGGTAGTGAGTCTAGAGACAAAACAAACTCAATCAAAAATGAAGAACCTATGCATGGATTATGTTTGATTGACATGCGGAATGATAGAATATCTACGAAAATAATAAATGCGACGTTCGTTGTAATTCTTAAAACGCATATCAGACATTGTTACGAATATAATAACAATACCTATTAAGAATTTTATTTACTGACATATGTACTTACAGCAGATCAACCCTACTTTTCGGTTAATTGAAACAACAAGAAAAACATAGGCTATTCAAATCCATATTAATTTCAGGAAACGCATTTCAATTAATATGCGGTTGTCAAATCGTGTAACCGTGTGACCCCGGGGTGTGTACGAATACACCTGTAAAACACCCAGATAAAGCACCTGTGTTTTCCCACTAATTGATTTCTCAAGCTAAGTTATCTCCGTAGATACCACTCCGACTAAACCACATAGTACACAAAAGAAGAAAGAATATTGTTGCTGTTCGGAAATCTTTTGCAAACTTTGTTCGGAAATCTTATGCAAACGTTCCCAATTAGTAAAATATCATGTTCGGTGGTTATAACATAATTAAAATTGAAGGAGAAATGCGGGCAGGATATTTTCAGTGACTATCTCTATAGATACCTAAAGACTCAACCAGATATTATAAAAAGAAGTGGGGGATCAGTTGTAAAACCCTGAACGACAGACAAGATATTTCAAGCACGGGTAGGCAGCGTTCCTAATGTTGGATCACATCTGCCCGATTAACTTTAATTATCAATTTATTAATATTAAATGGAATATTTCAAATATAACTTTATAAACCTGCAACGACGTTGAAGATTCAGAATAACGACGAAAATATAATTTCTAAAGTGGTTTGTAAAAAGGTTTCTTTGTCAACTATTTCATTAATTCAGCCTTTAAATGAAATAATGTGATTTTGGGAGGAGAACAATACACGATCGACAAAACAATACCTAGGTGTTTGTTCAATCAATGGATGTGTTCCAGGGAGAATTAACTTTAAAACGCATACTATTCTACTATAAAATCATAAATCGATATTTGTACTTGGAAATGTAAAAAGCAGCCACCAACAAGAGTTTTGATTTTGTCTCCTTATAATGATTAGACTTATTTTTTGTTATTTTAGTATAATTTTGAAAAATGGGGCCCCTTCCCATATATTCTAAATCATCAATGACGAGCTATTTTATAAACCATGGGGATGCTTTTTGTAAAGATTGCTTTTAACGTCGTCTCCATCCCTCCCTACAACATTGAAGTTTCCCCCGATACAACCAATTACCGAACGCTCGGAATCAATGCATAATCCACAATAATATTCCAAAGTTTTAATTAAACCATTGATGATAGTTGCAATTATCTCTTATTCCTTCAAACATCTGGTAGTCTTCTCATTAATTATCGAAGTCGTCTTATGGTTACACTTTACCCAGGCGCTTTAAGGATCCATTAATTCACACTCCGAGTGGCATTGTGTTATTTTATGGCGTTTCTTTGTTCTGGCATAAAGATGTTAGAATAATACTTAGGGGTCACAACAGAATTAAGATTAAAATGGAGAGGATTTACAGCTAGAAATTCAGGTCGTCTAAGTAAAAGGAGTTAATTAACAATCGAAAAGCTTTTCATTCACGGTAATAGCTCGCATGTGACACATTAATATACAGCATGTGACACATTAAAAGATTGCATGTGACAAATATCACGGATTCTGTCAGATGTTACGTATGAGTTTATTATGTGAAACAAAACAACTGAAAAAATTACACTAGACGTGTCATACACTAGCGAGACACGTTAGGATTCATGGTATATTAATAACATATATGTGACACATTTAAGCACATTCGTATGACACATTAATAGCTCAAATCTTACATCAATGTTTCATCAATGACACATTAAGAGCTTACATGTGACACTATCAATACCTGTGATACATGAGTACATTATATGTGCCACGTGAATAGCTTAACTGTAACCCCAGAAGCCACCCTATGCTTAGTGAGCGGACCTAATTTCAAGGGTGATGGTAAAGACGAGGCATGGCGCCCAAACCTGGCCTGTAACTAGGTGCACTGATGCTTTCTTCGCAAATTACATCGCCATTGCTCGTCATCGAAATTCTGATCGCCGAATAGACACTCTAGTAAACATTCATTTTGCATTGGATGTACATAACTAGAGACCGCCTTATTTCGCATATATGAAAAAATAAAACATATCTAGGTACATATATCTTTATATGTGACATCGATCAGGAATTATTGACATATTGACAATATTAGGTTGTAATTTCTTGCGGTAAATTCAAATTGTATCTTTAAACGACTGTTTCATCTTAACTATTCGTTTTATTGGATGTAAAACAAACGGTATGCATAGTTTAACATCTTTCACTTCTAAAACAGCATAAAATATCACAATATCATCACCTTATGCTGCAATAATACGACTTGAAAGATTATGGTACTAATATTTTTTGGTTTTTGGGCGCCCTGCCTCGTCTTTACCATCACCCTTGAAATTAGCTCCGCTCACTAAGCATAGGGTGGAAGTCTACATGGTGAAACATTCAATAGTTACTTTTGACACAATTGTACTTTATGTGTGACACATAAATAGCTTAACTGTCGTAGCACTAAAAGCCTACATGTGACACATTCAAGAGCTTCATGTGCCATAAGAGTAGCTAACATGTGACAATTTGATAGCTTACATGACGCATTATTATCACTTACCAGTGTCACATTGGCAGTTTAACAGTGCGGCATTAACAACTGATGTGACGCATGACACATGAATGGCTAAATTAACTGCGCGACATTAACAACTTCAGCGTGACACATTAATATCTTACATGTGACACGTTAGCTTACCTGAGACACATTCGTAGATGACTCTAAGGAAGCTACTGAACCCGCATGCAGGGATGTAGGTCTTCTCTATCTCCAACGTGCACTGATTTTTGCTACAGCATTCTTCCTCAAGGGCGTCACTCGACTGTCCACAGTCGTTGATGGTGTAATAACACTCCTCCCACCTGGAATAAACGTCCATACACGTTATTCGAAACTGTTTAAATTATGGTGAATTTGGGAATCATATTTACCGATATATCGATGCTGATTTAAATAGCTATAATATATAGCATTTTCAAGTGTAAATTATTAGATTCTTCGTCTGACGCTGTTACGCCATTGCATGACGATGTGTTTATGTTTATGTTTCTTTATTTCCTCCGTTTTATTGGAGAGCAAAACAATTTATACATGCATATCACATTACAAACATATATTACAGAAGAGTAAAGGGTTATTAATATTTACATATTTACAAGTTAAATGACTCTAAATACATTTTATCATTACAATTCAAGCGTACCTATTTGAAATACATATTTATATTGTAAAATGTATTTGCACATTCGATAACGAACATTTCATAAATGGTGTCATTGGCTACGTATACATCAAAATCCATTCTGCTACCCAGAACAGTCTGTAACAGTTTGTATACATTATTGCTCTTGCCTCTTTTGGGATCCAAGAGAATGGAAGCAAGCAAGGTGTCTGGTAGGAAATAGTGAAAAGTTTTACCTGTTTCTACCAAAGAAAGCTTCTTGGATGAATAAGGTTTTGCCGGGATCGCAGGAGAGATCTACAACAGTTGGTGGCGCCCCCTGTTTTGAACTAAAGCAGAAATTCTGGGTAGCCCCTGAAAAGAAAACCAAGGTTATCATTTTTCTTCAATAACATCGACTAACAATGCATTAATTTATTCTGTAAAATGTCACCACCTGTCATTTGTTACAGACGCCGATCGCCGAACACCGTCCACAAAAAAGTTTGAGACTATAGCAATGTGGTGACATAAAAATGATATGGACTCTGGTACATAGGTGGGGTTTGAGAAGAGCCTTTAAATCAGCAGTTATTCATCAGACTGAATGGGTGTAAAAGGTCCCTCGTTATTTATGTGCTTGGTGAAATCAAAGTCCATTACTTTATTGTGGAATTGAATACAACACAAAGAGAATATCGTGGGAATAATGAACTAGGGATACAGGTGAATTTTTCATTCCTTAGGGTAGTGACAGATAATTGGAGCAATTCTATGCGGTTACTCTAACCTTCAATTATATTGGTTCTCGTTATATTAATGAATCGTTTATGTGTTCATTTACGTTTTTGCCTCCGGTGTTTTCACATGCCGAAACGTATTTTTGACATTTTATGACAATCGCTGCACCCGAGGGTTTTGCAGAGAAGTAAGGTGAGTCACTGTGTAGTACCAGGAGCAAGGGGTGTCAGTGAAAGTCTAAGGATATCTGAGTACCCGCAACGTTAAGTGATAAATGCAACCCCTCTGGCTTCTTTTGTGCTTTTGTTTTACATGGTTTTGTATTGTTTGCGTTGAAACAGTTAGATAATGGTTGTTGCCTCAGAAAGTGTCGTTTACTTATCACGTAATCACAGTACACACTGAATGTGCAGCCAAACTTATTCTGAGACGCATCGCCTTTTTTCTTTTGCTAGTAATATGTTGCAGAAAACTGAACCATCAGTGCAAACAGAAAAGCAAATTTTTGAGACGATTGACTGCACAGTTGAAAACTTCGATATTTGCATTTTTCCTTCTATGATTTGCATATTTCACTGCACTGTGTTTTCGAATCGCTTTAATGACCATAAAAGCACTTTTTACTTTTACTGGGTTTAGCCAGAAATGATCACAGTTAATAAAAATGTCAGGATGACTTGTAAATTGCAATTTTTCCCAGGTATGATAGAAAGTAGAAGTTGTGTACTTAGTTCGGTTAATGACATAGCGTGTGAACCAAGAGCAGGGGTAACAGTATCCCGTGTAGCCTGTCAGCTTATATCAGGAGGTGTTATAAATCTACCTACACCGGTAAGGTTATGATAAACTTTGCCAAACTTTCATACTCATGTTTCGTGTAATACTAAGTAGCGGCTTTATATCAAGTATCACATTCACCAATCTACCTGCCCTTATCGATGTTTGGACGAGATTAACAGATTTGCAGATTAATAGTGTCGATGAGAACTGATTTTCCCATGCATTTTTATCCCTTATCACATTTTCATTTTGTACGTCATTTCTTTGTCAGCGGATGTACAGAATAAACCCAAACGACCAAGAATTCCCTTGTCCCACAATAAAAGTTGTCGGACGTTTGTGAAAATAATCTATATTGTCCATACGTACATTGTACCATTTGAAATGTTTTTTTGCTTTTGAAATCCATGGAGTTATAACTATAGCCCTTGGGCAGTATGAACGATTGTTTATGTGTGTTATCTTTAATTGTGTTTCAACTAAACGATAAATTAAGTTTCCGAATTTAGATATGTGTGAATTGATGATGTAAAAATTGCAGAATACTTCAAGTTAACGGAAGATCAGATAACTTTTTTCAAATAATTTGAAGAATTCCCACGAAGATTCTGATTTGAACGTTAAAATATTATGCGTATACCTGTATAGAGATATTGGTAGAGGGAAACAATGAGAGGTGATAAGAGGTCGAATCCTGTTCAATTGAACCACCTGTCGATCGTCCGACCACAGACGTCCAGTCTGAGTTGTTCCTCCAAAATGCTTAAATATGTGTGCTTTTCTCCCGGGGATTTGGAATAAGAGACATCAGCCCATCAAGAACCTTTCGAAACTAGTAATTTGCAAATGGGGAAGTCTAAAAGCGATTTCGTTTGACGGCCCTATGTATCTGCAATCTTTGTTTTATTTTCAATATTTAGCATAGAACTGGGATACTCGCGCGGGACATGCAATTTAATTCTCTTTCAAATTGTGTTTCAATTGCATAAGTGCAATTCACAACCTTCCACCTCAATATTGACGATGGTACAGTAACCGCATTTACCGCCTACCGTATCTGACCTCCCCCAGGCGAAATGAACACTTGGTATTGTACCCCTGATGCATCCAATGCATATCGACATTATTCTGGATATAGAAAGAACTATTGTTGTTAAAACCTGAGTTTTTCATATCAGCGCACTATCTAAGACTCGAGGACCACTTAGAATTCCTAAAGAGCAGGTGCATTGAAAAGATCTGCATTAAGGCCACATTCAAAGAAGGCGTCCTAGCATATGTTTAACGCGCTGGAGTTTTTTACTCTTTGCTCGAGCAAACACGTTGTACATATGTGCCAAAATCTATGTTCCCCAGGCAATTTAGTCCCTTTTCTTATACAACTACGGTGTCCCGGTGTAAAAGGGTAGGAGGTCCTATCAAATTATGGTCCTACTCTCCATTGATTTATATGGTGACCTAAATACAATCCGGCCCGGATGTTCCTGCTTGATTGTATCGAGGACTCGAGTAATGCAAACACATCTTCAAAGTCAAGTGATTTAAAATGTGTGTTTCATTAATATAACCGAATTGTTAAATATTTGCAAATTAATGCTCAGAAACCATTCATGGATTCAATGGAAAGCCTATATAGTATATACATAGTATCTATTGTTATCTGCTGATTAGATAGCACGAGGTAATAAGCAAAACTTAAAAACGCTCACACCAACAAAGCCGTAGAAGATAAACCTGTAGACAAAGTAGATAACAATACAACAACATGTGTTTCTGGCGACTATTTATCAAACAGGCGACTAGTTCACTAACTTTTAATCAATATATCAGTTTTTATCAGCAATTTAAAACCTGGCGCTTTAAGACTGAATTCATGTCAAAGTGATTTGCAAACTGTTCATATATCAAATCATATGCAATGATTGTAGCAAAACACATTAATTTTCGTGTTGATGGTACTTTATTGGAATCTAAGCTTCACGCAATGCCCTCTTGGTATTATCCGATCACTGGACTACCATCGTGAACCAGGGTACCCGAACCATTACTTTTTTCTTCACGACGAGATAATAAGGCGAGGAGACTGTATTACCCTTTGCATTCGTTTGACTTCACTTCTTAAAAGAGAGCTTCGTCTTCTGTAGTTTAACTAGACTCTGCACGCAGGGTAAGACTGTATAAGCCTAAGCTTACTGACAAAAGTTGGGGATTCTGTATTGTTTTGTGTTCGTTATATATTCACAAGCTATATGCATATTCTCAATATTCTTATTTGAATTGAAAATTGAAACGAGTTATCATATTCGGAAATGTTATGGATTTATCGTTCGGAAAATTGAAACTTTGTTTGTTTTTCGAATTCCCAACAATGATTTATATTCCAACTACATTCAAGGATTATTCATTTAGTTTATAATCTGTTTGTTTTTCATTTTCATAGCGTGGAACACAATTCCACCATAGATTTGAATAACTATTGTTTTCACTTCTCAAGTTATCTGGGTGTTACAAACAGTTACATACTCTATGACAATATAAAAACATGAGAATGAATTTACTGAATAGTGAATAGTTGTGAAAACCCTTTAGGTCAAATATTGACTTATTCACTTACATACGCAATAATTTTAGAAATATGAAACCGTGTGAACTTTTTTACAAAATAGTAGGCTATATAGGGGATAAGTTGCCTTTTTCCCCTGCACGTTTAAAGGTAGCTTCAGTTAACCAATTTATAACCTGCATGGTACATGTATATACATAAAGCATACGGTTATTTAGCCGAGTTCAAAAAGCCTTTCTTTAAGTGCGTGCGAACATAAATTTTTATCTCAATGGAGCCGAGCTTTGGAATAAAACTGGGCACGCGTGTCAAATAGTGAGACAGATGGCTGTGTCAACCACTCAAATAAACCAAGCTAAGCAACCTACCTTCAACAATATTAAAATCGGGTAATATGCCTCCAAAAACAAAGATTAAAGTCCACACGAAGTCCTGCTTTTTATCCATTCTATTGCATCAAATATCCTTGTACAATCCAACTACATTTTGGTGTTTATCTTCAGTAAAAATGTAAAGAAACAAGTTTAAGATCCACGAACTTCATTTCAGTGTTTGCACTTTAGAGAGTTATATTAACTGTCAGTTCAAAGCAATGGTGACCCGGAAGTGATTTTTTACAAACCAGGGGTTGTGAACTCCATTACTCTCCAGGCAGGTGTTCGTTCAATAGTATGTTTGTCCAATGTTTGGAACTCTTATCGGGGTTAATATGCCTGGAGGAGTACAAAATTAGGATAAATTATGTTAATGTTGTAGTAAAAACTGGGGGCATTGTGCTTTAACAATTTTTGCATTGCAATTAATGATATCAATGTGAACCCAGTGGCGGATCCAGAAATTAACAAGGGGGAGGGGCAAATTTTGAGTATGTAAAATAATTTACGCGATTGCTCAGAAAAAATGTTGGGCTACTAAAACCAAAGATTTGGCCCAAATTTTGAAAAATTAAGGCCCATTTTTGATAACTCGGCCAAAAAAGCATACAAATTCCAAATTTTTGGGCCCGAAAACTAACAAATAGGGGGGGGGCATGTTTTTTGTAACCTTTTCAAGCATTTTCTCGGTCTTTTCTTCATCCTAGATCTATTAATTATAAAAAAGTCAAAGACTTTTGACTCAAATAGAAATTGAAACTGGGTATTTCATTAGTTTTTGAGTGTTATTACGTCCGATCATACAATATATGACTGAATCGGGGAATAAACAATTACAAATTGATAATTATTTACAGGACTGGAATCGCATCGCATTATAAACAATATGAATCCAAAGACTGGGAGATCGCAGATGACATTTTCCCATGATCAACATTAAATAGCCAAGAGCTAAACTATAGTAATTCAAACCTCATTTCACTGTGTTTTAATTTACAATTATTTGTTCGTTTTAGATTGCCTACTATTAGGGATGTCCATTTCCTTTGTAACGATTCGAGACTTATCTGTAAGATAAAAATATTTATCTACAGTATCTTATAAAAATAAATAATTAAAATTAATTTTTTCTTTTTTTTATTCAACTTTAGTGACAAGTAGTAATCAGATTCCAACTTGTTAATAATCTCGTCTTTGGGTTTTGTTCTTTGTACATGAAATCCATTTGTTATAATTGATATTATTCGTAAAGCCTTGTCCGAATGTGTTTATTAAGTTCAAGTATGATCCTTAAGTAAACCTCCAGTTCTTCGTGACGTTGGGGAAAAAGATCGCAAATATCAACTGGAAATGGAATTGTGGAGTAGGGATAAGTAACTCGGATATCATGAAAATCTATGTTCATTACATATAAAAAAATACTTGAGTGGTTTATAGAAAATTATGAGTCTTAAATACTTCATAATGGAATTCTTGTTTTCGAATTGTTCTCCGATTTCATTCTGTGTTTTCATTCATTAAAAATACAGTAATAATATAAACATTGCAAACATTTACACATTGCCGAAATTTTTATTGCAATTTAGATTACTTTTTCAATTAATAATGTTTATCTTAATTCTACTCTTTGACAAGTGGAGACACACTGAGGTATAGTTAGAATATGTGCATACACTGTACGTGCTCATGACAGAATGATGAATTTGTTCATAAATATATTTAGTTATATAATGAATTAAACCAAAATACAGAAACATTACACTGCCATCTTTACATACATTCATTCAGTAATTCATTATACAGCAATGTCAAATCCATATATTTGTACATGTACATTCGGCCGACTCAATGATGAAATAAATTAGAGGATGCATGATTTTATGAGTTTTTTCATGTTATACTTTGAATGAATGGAGGTCTCTTCTCCATTCTTTACAATAAAATAATAACAATAAACTGAAAAGAAATCCGTACAATTCATCATGCGTTAACTTAAACAAGGCAACAAATTAACATGCTGTTTCCAGGTACAGGTACTTGGTAGGAGAAAATAAATCAAGATTGAATTGCACATACATGTATATATAAATATAAGTGTACTCTGAGCAACATTACCCTTAACCTATTAAATTTCCAGTGTAAATTAGAATTCATGTACATGTTGGTGGTTAACAGTTTTTAAATAATATACATACTACTTAAACAGAGACTATATAGACATCCATCAATTAAAGCAGAGACATATCATATATATTTTATATGTCTCTGACTGAAGTTAATAAAAAATATCGATAATCATTTCAGTGAGAACAAAATGGCATACTTTAAGCCTAATAGTTGGTGCAGGATAAAATTCAATACTGAATACTCAAATGAATTCCATTGGATATTTTGACACATTTACAACAGATTGAATAACAGCAGTAAACAATAGTTGCAGAAATGTCAGGATAAATCGCTTACTGTATTATGGTATCAATCCACAATCAAAGAAGCAGGGAATCCTTCCATTTATAATCACATGATTGTCACGTATATTAAGCTCTTGTTATCATCTTAATTTAATAAATTGTAAATTTTTCGAATAGCTTTAGACTGACAAACATACTAGTGTTGAAGAGAAATAATATTTCAATACAATACAAATAGAGGTGATTTGTATTCCAAAACACAATTTGCAGGCATAACATTTTGAAATATAAGAATTACACATCCTGCAGTACCTTAAATACGAGGGTACATGTAGCTTAAATATCTGTTTTTTCAATGCCTAAATAGATATATACAAATTAAAGACTCTACTATGTGTTTGTGTTCTCTACATACTAAAAATAGAGATAAACATGTAACATTATATAATATGTATAACAATTCTAAGTTTAACATTGTAAGTAAATACAGCAGTATATTCATATACATTTTAGAAAATTAGAACTCTATAGTGTTCCCACATACCATTAGTGCACGAAGACCTGCTGGGTGCATGTTTCAATTCAATATATACATGTAAACTTTTAAACTACAATATAGAGTATTCTAAATATGAGTGATAAATAATATTGACACACGGGTGCCTTGTATGGATGGGACTAGAGGGGTATATCCCAGAATTCAAAGATGAATCTATCTCTATGTAAAGATTACACTCATCTTTACAGCTATGAATTCTGGCGTATTTTCACCTCTTGGATTGGGACAAAAGATCTTGCCAGATATACTCTGAACACTCTATCAGGTAACATTTTTGCCTAACGTTTTCATATCAAAATCAGAACCACGTTTTGCACTAAATAGAGAATGTCAAACTCAAGATGCAAGACCGGCCCTGTAATATTACCCTCAAATTGTAGTTTCTTATATACATTACACTTAGTCTTTTCACATAGATATTAGAGAGTTTAAGCTTGCACTTTTTACCTTCATGGATTGGCATTGTACATTAGGCTTATACAAGGCAACTTTATTAAATAGCCTTTAGTTGTAAGTCATGGTTAAGACAATACTGCAGCTGATAGGAATGCTTTTCCAAGTTAGATACATCAGATCACAAAATAAATGAGAAAACAATAACTCACCAAAGAAGCAAATCACAAAACAAAACAGCTTACCCAAATAATGGTTGCATATGTTAGATTTCTGAGTGGCTCAATATTTTCAATGAAATGCAGTCAATCACTTCCACCCAAGTCATTCAATCTTGGTGGTTCCCGGTGAGTATTTAACTTTGTAATTTTAATGCCTTAATCATTCCACAGCTGAAAAGCTTTGGCATTTACTGACATTCTTTGGGTGTTTAAACATTTTTGATTTTATTGATTTTATCTCTTTTATTGAGAATTTGCTCAATGAGGTCAATCATTTCACTCGTTCCCATGGAACCAGAGTCAATATTTGACCCTTGACCTCTCTGCAAAGGCTTCTCATTGTTAACTTCAGACATTATTCTCTGAACTGACTTTTCTAAATTATTTTGAATTTTTTCCTGAGGTTCCCCAACAGCATCTATATCAAATGCTTTCTTCTTCAAAAGGACCCTGTCGATTCGGTCTATTACATCTTGTAGACCTTCAGCATTCATCCAAGATGGATATTCCCCATTTGAGAGATCACCATCTTCGTCAAGTTTCTTTTTAAATATATCTAAATGTGGTGAGTTAAGAGATTCAAATGTACCTTTTTGTTCTTCATCAACTAGAGTTCCTACAACTCCTTCCATGTTATCCCCTGCTGTATTGAAGTTTGAAATTGAGTTAAAGCGTTTATTGTCAGTCTGGTCTGCCAGCTGATCAAATATCTTATTGATATCTCTGTTATTCATATCCTCTAGCAATCTGTTTACTTCATCTCGATCAGAGTCACTCCCCTTGAGAGAACGTATCAAATTCATTGTCCGTTTATCCCTCACTTCCAGGCCATCTGCATCGCGATCCTCAACTGTGACAATGTTACTGATATCCTGTTGAGATAAAATCCTGGATCTCTTTGTTGATATTATTTCTGTATCTGAAATTGCACTAGTCTCTTTACTTGATGTACTAGGCTTGTTACCTGCAGTGCCATATAAGGTCAAAGAAAAGGCATATAGGATGCCCTTATTGCCCTCAGGTTTATCCTCCGATGGAGAGTCCTTCACCCTAAGGGTCCATGTGCCATCTGGTTTCTCACCCCAGCTGTGGGTGGTCATGAATGTGAAGTCAACAGTTTCGTTACTGTCATCATGCTTTCGCGCCTTCAGCAATTGCGATGTTGTACCTGTGGGTAAAATATCAAGTTTTTTTACACTTTCCATTAATTTCTATCACAATCAATCTGAAAGGACACAAGATGAAACTGCAATCATTGACTGTAAATATTCAAGTATGATCTCCATATTATCAAGATAAAAATACTCAGTTACGGCAATGAAAGAGCAGTCATTGAGATGTAGGACTCTGAGAAAACTGAAATATCATTACATTACTTTTCATATATTACTTCTAGATTTGGTAACCTTTCAATAGATAATGTGCCATGTTATCAAGAATTAACAGCTGATAGATCAAATACTAACGAGGCATTGACATGCAAAATGTCACCACCTGCAATTTGTTACAGACCATGACCTCCAAACATTATCCACAAAAAAGTTGGAGACTATGACAATATGTCAAGTGGTGGTGACATAAAAACTAATATATATGTCATATCATACAAAAAGCAGGTCATATGATAACGGACTATACACATAGAAGACTTACCTTCAGGAGATGTGAGAAATATTTCCAGATCTCCTCTTCTGGTGAAATTGATTTTCACATGAGCCTGTACATGTTCTAGCTTTGTGATTATTGCATCTGGGTTGTCTTGACAACCATCTGTAGTCAGGGTAGCAGTCACCTCACCCTTGCTCTCAATAACTCTGTAAAGAATGTTATTTTGAGTTGAGTAAATTTAAATTATTTAATTATTTTGTTCTAAAGTCCTATATGTGGTTTGCCAATTAGTTATGCCCAGTTAATGTGGTTTGGGTGATCAGGAAGATTTGAACATATCCTCAATATAATATGGGTACCTTAGACTTAATAAATAAACATATTTCTGACTCATCTAAATTTCACCTTAAAAGACCTCCAGAAGATGACAGTTTTAAAAACAGAACTCACTCTGCAAGATCCTCAGTGCCATTGACCAGACAGATATGCTGTGCTTCTACATTGTTCCAGGTCTGTGCCTTGGCAACCATAGCTCCACAATCCAAGGCTCCAAAGCCAAAGTTATGACTCACATGATACCCTGCTCCATTCATCACCCAACCAGTCTCCTCTCTGTTTGGAATTCTAGCTGTCTCTGCAATGATGTGCTGCACATCTCTCCACGTCAGTTCAGGACTGAAATATTATGACAAAAACAGTTTTTATATTTCAGTCAAAATCAATCTTTCAAAGTTATTCTTTAAAAATGTTTAAAAGCTTTTACTTGTTTAAGAATGTCTGTGATGGACATTTTAAAAATATGGTTGAAAGTTTTAATTTTAGACATATTATAATAGGATTTGTACTGATGCCCTTATAGGGCCAAACGTACATCCAACTAAGTTCTTCAAATTACATTGACTAAGACGCAAAGGTGCTCTTAATAGCAGGGAAGGAGTTGCAACATGAAATATTAACTGGCGACTATTATTTCTAATGAGTATTGTACTTTGTATTAGAATCTTTACTAAGTTTTTATTTTGAAAAACCAAATACAAAATGATCACAACTCAGAATTGCAATTCTGACACTTTGTATAATGTACATTGAAACATAAGTATGACTCACTTTGCTTCCAGCACAAGAGCAAAGCAACCAGCGGCCAAAGGAGCTGCTGCAGATGTTCCAACAAAACCTTCAATACATCCATCATTTACATCAGTGGTAACCTTTAAAGTGAAAATTTCATTGTCAGCCTTCTGTCATAACGATATGATATTTCTAAGAGAGAATTTTGAATAATCACATTTCATGTAATTTCATCTAATATTAAACTTTTAATAGGCCAATCTACAGGGTGTCCCGAAAGTATGGGGCCCCCCCTAGGCAGACATATACCAGTGTTGTCATAGTATGTGTCATATATCATTTTAAAGCTTATCCAAAGTTACATTGATTTGCCAAGTATCATGGTTCAACTCTCAAATGTGAAAAAATTACAGGCATTTCAAAATTTAGTGTTTGGTCAAAATTAAGTTCAATTTTACACCAAATCACTAGTCAATGTGTCCTCCCGGGCCATCTTAACAGCAGCAATTCTTTTCGGGTCAGATAGATATTGAGTTGGAAAAAGAGAACGGTGAGGGTAGAAACTCCAATGGAACTCTTCTAAAGTGCCTGAACAGGTTTTAAGAGGGTAATAAAATTCCACACCCCTATTTGAAGGGCTTTTAAGGTCATATCTGAAAATAATTGGTGCTGTTAACATGGCCAAGGGGGACTCATTGACTAGTAATGTGGTGTAAAATTGAACTTTATTTTGACAAAACACTAACTTTTAAAATGACTGTAACTTTTTCCCATTTGGGAGTTAAACCATGATACTTGGCAAATCAATGTAAGTTTGGATAAGCTTTAAAATGATATATGACACATACTATGACGACACTGGAATATGTCTGCCTAGGGGGGGCCCCATACTTTCGGGACACCCTGTACACTAACACAACTTTGTGCACATGTTTGTGCTATTTCTTCAAACTACACGAGACTAAGTCTGGACATTTTAACGATCTTGCAGTGCACTGCCTTAGTCTCAGCAAAAGAATTCAAATTTCTAGCCTTGCTTCAAGGAAGAAGCACTGGAGGTAAAGTAGAGGGGGTTCTAGATACTTCCAAATTAAGACTTTCTGTTCACATGAATAATGTTATATCTCACCACTTTGATCTTGGGGTTGTCATAATCCCCAGAAAATGGTGTACCATGGCTTCCCCCTGTGTAGATGACAGCATTGGTGGATGAACAGGCCTCACTGTAGTATGCACTGAGACCTTGAAAGAAGAATAAATCATCATGAGTCTATTTGGGTAAATATACTGTCTATGAGATCAAACAAGGCTAATATCACATGGGTATGCATAAGATACATGGATACACTGACAACACATCTTGACGCATTGCACCATTATCATAAATCCAGTGAAGATTGTTAAAACAGACATTAGATTATCACCCAAATGTCTTCAGCTTCAAATGGGCTTATTAGCCTTTACGGATTATTGATGTAGCTGTAGCTCAATAGTTTCTTTAATTATATTGCAACTCACCATCGTCATTGATGCTACCAATGGAGATAGTGTAAATACTGGAGGTGTAGCCATCTGCTCCACAGTCATCCCCCTTAAGGCCACCGTTACCTGTAGCCCAGGAAAATATCGACCCTTTCCCTCCACGACCCTATAGACAATAACACACAACATATTATGCAGTGCATTTAGGCTTTTAATTTGACAATTGCACTTTTGAAAACTCATCAGTTTTACACCACTTTTCCCTCGAGAATTTATTGTCATATTTTTAAAGAAAGTCCAAGAGTTTATTTTTTAAAAATCCTTGAGATATTTTCTGATCATAATGGACTTTAAAGGCAGAATCTAATATACAGGGGGGTAACAAAATTACAAGCAACATGAATAACTGACCTACCAATCTATTCCTTACAATATCAAATACAATATCTCCCAAAAGATTCACAATATGTTATAAATTGGTGACTTTATTAATGATTCAAAGTGCAAAAATGAGTGAAAAATGTTTGAATTCTCCCAAATAATAAGAATGGTAACCATTCTTATAGAAAAATAATACAATATTGTAAAAATCTTTAGTTTTCCTGGAATAAGTATGCATTTTTGTGATTTTTAGAAAATAGACATGACAAGGAATGACATGAGCCAAAAATATTCTAAAATTGAAACAATTTTTTGTTTAGCCTGCTCGCTATATCTGATTCTCTCTTTAATATTAAGTAAGTACTTTTAATCCACTTATTTTCTAGATGCCCTAAAGAATTTGAATAACTAAATAATATGTCATTTCACTTCAACATATCAACACTCATGAACATTATCTCAAACTGTAACTCTATTCCACATTATTCCACATACCTCTTTGGATCCCTTCTCTAATGCGGCAGCTGTGTAGTGATGTGGGGCCTCCATGTGTGTCCCATCATCACTAGGGCCCCAAGAAGCACTGTAGATGTCTATATGTTGATTCTTGAACAGGAGGGCATTTGACTCAAGTAGGTCGGTCACGGGACCATCAAGGATTCTAACACCACCAATTTTGGCATTATAAGCAACACCCACCCCACATACATTATTGTTGGCTTCCGCTGCGATTTCTCCAGCGCAACGAGTGCCATGGCTGAAATGAAATTGACCCTTGGTATATATGAAATAAAACTTATCTAATTTGCAAACAATAGGGAAATCAAAAATCATAAATCAATCTATTTTTCTTTATACTTTTTTCTATAGGCCTGCTTTAAACAGAAAGTGACACTGAGTAAATCAGTTAAAATGACAATAAGATAAAAAAAAAATATCCAGTCAAAAATACATCCCAAAAAATGAAAAGTCACGGACTCCTAAATTCGCTTACATGGACAAGTGTTGTCATCTAATTTGGGCATTATCTTTTTCAGTCCATGTAACATACTATAGAGTAAGACTATAACATTATGCAATGATAAATTGCAATAATTAACCCCATCCAACCAAGCTGTACTTATAATAGTCCCATTTACATATAAGTCATGCTGTTTCTGTACTGTACAGTATATCCAGTGTTTCATGCTAACCAATCACCCCATGAGCTCAATACAATGATGTTTTTCAAGTTCATACAGATAATATCTGACATCATGCCACAAATTGCTCAACATCATTTGGGTTGGTATAATGAAATTTTTAACTACAGGAGGAAAACACCCTTAATTATTTATACCCACAATAGATTTGTGAACTGATATGGGATTTAAAATAATAAAAAAAAATACACAAAATAAACAAAATAATAAAAGTACCTTTAGCCCGAATAAAATGTAATTATTTTAAACAGAAAACACTAACAGGTTGGCCATAATTTTTTACCACAAATCTTACCTTTACTCCTGCTGCTTTTAAAAGAAGAAAATGAAAAATGATCTAATATTTCTACAAATATATGGCATGTATGTAACTGTGGAATAAATCATGACCTAATAATTTGTCATTATGACCTTGTTGCCTTGTCTTACCTATTTTCTTGAAATCTTCAATATACATGCTTTAATTGCCAATTATTCTTTTCCAAAATTACCACCTAATTATGCACATCTGATAAACCAATACTATCACATTTCATAAAAGTGTTCGATGAATGATTCCGCTCCAACTAAAATGCAAATATAAAGTGATTTTATTCTTTGAAATTTTGGAACAGTTATGATGATCTGTAGTACTAACCTGTTGGCACCATTCTTTTGAGGTGTTGGATCTTGTTTTGTGTCTTCCTCATCATTGAAGTCAGCACTTGCTTCAGCATCATAGTTCTTCTTCAGGTCTTTATGTGTGTGGTCCAGACCATCATCTAGCACACTGACGACAACACCCTTCCCTGTATAGCCTCTCTTCCAGGCTTTTACTACGTTAATATCTCTTCCAACTGTGCCTCCAGTTTGACCCAAGTTAGTCTAAATATAAATAAATGACAGTATGGTCTGTAAATAATTTCATCAACAACAGATCGACATAGAAAACATCCTCCCTTTTTTATTCTCTTAATATTTTACTTAATACTTACAATATACCACATGTCACTGTAGAAGGGGTCTTTAAAGTCCATTGTACGCTCAGCTAATTCCTCTGGCAGAGATCCTCTGACAAACTTCCCATTATTATCCAGGGGATAGATGCGACTAAAAGTATTTGAAAAATATGATTTTTGAAGAATTCTCCTCTATTTATGTTAGTGTATGTCATTGTTATAATTATGAATTTCAATAAATACATAGAAAATAATACCAAATCAAAAATAAAATTTATTTTGGAGAAAAGCAATCTTGTTGAAAAAATACTTTATGTAAAATGGCTAATAAAAGGCCAAACCAAAGTGAGATTTTTTGACCTTTGATCTGAGAAAATGTTTAATGACTTCAACACAGGCTGGTATCGAAAAATTTGTCCGCTGTGACGGAGCGTGCTATTTTGCATAGAAACACTAAGAAACCCACACAATTTATTTTTTTACTCATATGTTTCGCTATACCAAAGAAAGTTTCTTCCTCCATGCAATGGGTATATCATTTGCGGGTAACTTTAACTTTTGTTTTAAGTCCAACAACGCTAAGAGTAAAAGCTATTGAAAACGGCGCTGGGGTATCATGCTCCAAAATGTACCATTTCTTTTATTTCTTTCTAATGGTACAATATAGCGACACGATAATATTTACATATGTTTTCAGCTTAACTCTGAAGGTATTAATGATATCTTGATGTGTTGGGTATTTTTAATATTTTTTATAAAAAATAATGTTTACATTTTTTGTCCGCTGTGACGGAGCAGTTTTAACTGTGAACTACGTTAAGAATTTAAGATTCAAATTATACCTTTTAAAAGAAGAGAGAACGTCACAAATCACTTTCCTAAATTATGACAAGTAGCCTCTGGGAGATCTGGGGTAATGTAAATCTGAGATATAAAAACTCTTAGCATTTTTCGGAGGTTTGTACTGAAATCAACATGAATCAACATGGTGTAAACTCAACATAATATTTAGAATACGTTTTCGCCAAGACGTCTTAGAATGTCACGTGTAGTGTAAATTGTTACGCGGAATATGGCATACATTCATGGTTGCGCGGTATTTGGGATACGGGTGAATATGCCATACTCACCTGCGGTATATGGCATATTCCGCAGGTGAGTATGCGATATTCCGCAGTGAATATGTGATGCATTGAATTCAGTGAATACCCGATACTCACCTTCAGAATATGTCATACTCACTTGCGGAATATACCATATACAGCAGTTGAATATGACATATTCCTCAGGTGAAAAACGTGATACAGAAAGACTTGGTTTGATTGGTTGCGAGAATCGACTCTGAATGTAAAACTACGCTGGATTACCAATAATGTCAGTGCGTCGAGTACTAATATATGAATCCTGGATTGATTGGGTAAGTTTATTACGTGAGATTGGTGAGTGATACTTCTGCATACGTTGATGTATTCGATAAACTGTACTGTTGATTCAGTAATCATTATAATAATTTATAAAGTTTTACTTGTTCGTTCAATCGATGCAATTGACAATTGCATACTTCCGTATCACGTTCTCATTGGTTAGTGTGTATGCCATATACCACAGGTGAATCTGTTATACACCGCAAGTGAATACTAGTATGGCATATTCGTTGCGGAATATGGGATATTTTTGTATCGTGTTTACCGCGTAACATAAATAGGGATAATATGAATTTATTCGAAATAGCGCACAGACATCCTGCATTCCGACAGATGTATAACCTTTTACCACATAATATTACTGTATATAAGTTACCATAAAAATGACCATGTCAGGTGATGGATCCACAGTAGGCACAACGAAAGGCAAATACCCTATACTGAAATAGAGTTGACTATCATTTTCATGAGTTACCATGCATAACTTGGATTACAGTACAAACTGAGAAAAGAAGCTTAAAGAGTGGTCGTATATGCATCTCAGAATTTGAATTGTGTACTTTTATTTTGTTTTATTTTTCAGAATACTTTACGAAAGAGATTTGATACGCTCCCTCCTCTAACGTGTAGTTATAAAGAGATATATTATAAATCTAAATTCTTAACGTATTTCAGATTTGAAACTGCTCCGTCACAGCGGACAAAAAATTTAAACATTATTTTTTATTGAAAAAATTAAAAATACCCAATACATAAAGATCTCATTAATACCTTCAGAGTAATGCTGAAAACATATGTAAATATTATCGTGTCGCTATATTGTACCATTAAAAAGAAATAAAAGAAATGGTACATTTTGGAGTATGATACTCCGACGCCGTTTTCAATAGCTTTTACTCTTAGCGTTGTTGGACTTCAAACAGAAGTTAAAGTTACCCGCAAATGATATATTCATTGCATGGAGTCAGTAATTTTCTTTGATATAGCAAAACATATGAGTAAAAAAATTAATTGTCTGGATTTCCTAGTGTTTCTATGCAAAATAGCACGCTCTGTCACAGTGGACAATTTTTTCGATACCAGCCTGTGTTCAAAGGAAAGTCATCCTCCTGGTGACAGCAAACTCTGATTGGCTCGGTGAGTTCAAGTTTCTCTTAAACCCAAAGAGTGACGGCGAAACTTTTTTTGAAGAAGCTTTAGTCTAACAAATGTGACAGACACAGTTCAATGATTGTAATTTAAAATTTGCAATATACAATTTGTATATTGCAAATTAAGGTCATAAACACACACATCACAACATTGGTGATTTGTAATAATAAAGGCATAGATTTTACAGAATTACACATCAATGTGTAACACAACTATATTGATCTTAGAGCTATATAAATGTAGTGTTTCAAATCTAACTACAGAACCATAACCATCTTCAGATCGACTACGAAGCTGTATATATTTACATCTATAGAGCTATATATATATCACAAGAGATACGATTGTATAACATAGAAAGTATGGTCCAAGTAATAAAGAATCGGATTTAGGAAGATTTCATTCAATACTGGGTTCATGCAAAGAATCACAGGACAGAAAAGAAAAGTTCAATCAGATATCTTCACTTCGCTATCTTTTGGACAGAGGTTTCATTATCCTTCATAATCAGAAATACACATAAAATCACAACACAATTCAAAAGGTTCACTAACAATTGAATACTTATAGTACTTCTTAAATAGCTGCATTGTAATTTTCAACACAGATTTTTCCAGAAAGGAACATGTCAATTTGTAGCACCCAAATGTTATGAAATTACATTTCAAACTGAACCCTAACTCCAAAAATGGAGTCAACATCTATTTGTAAAATCAAAAATCACTTTCTTTGAATTTGCGCAAACATGCGTGAATTAAACAAGTTTTGCCAGCGTTTTTTAAATGTAATTACACTTAATAACATTTATTGATACAAGATGTCAATAAAGTCTCTTTATACTCCACAGACTTAGTATTGGAATTGTAAAGGGACTTAATTTATGGACACCCTGTACATCGATAAATTGACATTTTTCTTTTTAAGATACAGCCTAATCTATTTACTACTTACTTCTCGTCTTTATTGTCAAAAGTATTCCGACTACAGTAAACAGAAAAATATTTGAAACTACATACACTCATATTTTCAATGACTTAATGGAGTGCAACTACAAAGGAAATTTCTTTTCCATAAAACTGGACAAAGATGCGGTTTCTCAAATGTTTCAGAAATTATCAAACACTGAAGTAGGTCATTTTTCAAAATTTTGATGTTCGCATCTTAATTTGTTACACAAGCAAGCATACCTTGGTGAAAACATGCATATTTTTCCAATCTCTTCAAATAAAATCATTCATCAATTTAGGTCCACATATACTTACTGGTAAACAGATTTGTCGTCATATGTCCTAATGGGGAGCTCAATTTGCTTGTCGTGTAAGATAGGGTACTCTCTTTTCACTCTATGTAGAAGTTGCTGCTGCTCCACACGTTGTACATGGGGGTCTGCGGACAATTTGTTGACATGCTCATGAGCGCTACGCTTTGATCGCTTCTCGATCTTGTCGTGGCGAAAGTGGTAAACATTGCCAAGCTCTTCAATCTGGAGATTAGAAATAAATGGGCTTGAATAAATCATACTCGATGAATCGACTTTCAAATTTAACTTCTTAATTTTAACATGCATATTTTAACAGATTATTCATTTTTCACAAAAAGTGATTTTCATTAGAAATATACTGGCACACTCTTTGTTTCAGGTGCCCCCTGTTACAAAAACACACCCTTAATATGTTTCAACCCACCCTTTTGACAACTCTGTATCCATAAATTCCAGCCACCAGTTCCACAAGATCAGAGTCGCCATCTATTTCAACAGCAAAGTCATTCAGGAATGTTGGTTCAGGGTTGCCATGGTGACACAATGCAAGTAGCAAAACAACTTTCAACACCACAGATCTAAGCATCTTTTCAAGGAACCTGAATCAAAAGTAAAATATGGAATAAAAATCAAGACAAATAGATAAGAATCAAGAATTGTGTTGGTACATGAAAAAAAAAGTTAAAATACAATGACTTAAACCATTTCATTATCAAATTTTCAATATAATGGATTATCCTGTTTATTTATATTCAAATGAAAAGTTTGAGTGGACATCAAACGAAAAACTGTGTACATTTGTTCAAGTTCATGTGGCTACAAATGACCACAAATATAATCATGCCCATTGTAAATATTAGTTGAACAAGTTATTGAACATGGATTGAAACTTTCTAAAGGTCAGACCAAACTATACTAACAAGAAAAGTAAATATGCAATGCTCGTTATTGTCTAATACTGTAGTTGATAGCTATAAGTGAGAAAATATAAAAAAAGCGATTCATCCTTAAATTTGATATTTCACAATGTTCAAAAGTATTCTGAAGCACAATTTATAAAACTTTGATGTTGACAGCTTGAAAATATGTCATTACAGTTAATGAATGCAAAATTATAATTGTCACTATTAGCCTATGTCATAACATCTTATCTAAACATAGATAGAATCCGGAGCAAATAGTCAACATTTACCAATAAACCAATCACGTCCTTGGACATTTGGATTTGAACCAACATGCTGAACCAACTTTTCTAGGATAGTTCAAGAACACTGTATCGGATCATCATTTGTGATATTTTTCAAATCTTGAATATTCATTTTAATTTGAAAGATCTCTGTTTTTACAGTTCCATGAATTTGTTTAAAGCATTCTATAAAGCATACTATATTTTGTTTAGAAATCGAAAATTCTTTCTTTAGAAGAGCTTAACATGTTTATGAAAATTTTATGAAATTTTGCATCCACCTGATATAATCCAGTTGCACCCACTTGAAAATGAGAAAAATCATGAAAAATTGGCATATTTTGACCAATTTTGCTCTAAATTATAAAAATGAGAATTTTGCACCTACGCGAGAAAAAATACTGGGAGATCACTGATTACATATTGACAACATGTGCTCTTGAACATTGAAAGCTAACATGTTTTGCTTTAAAGATAATATATTTGCTGAATCATGATTACAGTATTTATTAAAACGAACTTATAAGGAGAGGGGTGCTAAAGATGTTGTCTTGCTTCAAGACTGAGTACCCCCCCCTATATCACTTTGTTGTTACTTCAAAAACAAAACAGGTCTCCACTTTTCACAATTATTGCCACATAAACTTAAAATCAGTGCAAATCATTAAATAAAGTCAGAAATATCCTACATCTGAAATTAAATTGATTCCTGTCCTCCTTCTTACATTAAACATAGATTGCCTAATTGGGGAAAATCAGTAATGTGTTCATAGAATATATACAAAAATATGTACATTGTATACCTATAAGCCATTCACTTATATTGAGGTCAGTATTTTGTTTTTTATTAGATGATTTGCCAAAATATTCACTAAACCATGTCAACTTGCCAACAATCAGACTACATCTAAAGTAGGAGCAATTGATCACTGGAGTGATGTAACTGCTCTCAGTTACAAAGCAAGATCAATTAAAGGTGCAACAATTAGTGCAGGTTCAACGATCATCGACCAGTGTCAAAATATATTTAAGTTTGGATATTTCATCAAGACTAACATATATTTTTATTATCTACAAAGAAACCCCCTGGATGAACATTATTTCAGCTGATATTCCTCTTGAAACGTGGTGTATCTTGAAAATCTATAAGTGGGACTCCCTTTATAGAAGCTTTGAACTGAATTTACACTTCTTAATGCTGAAATTGAGACTTTATGAATACATTTTAAGAAAATAGGTATGTCAAAGAAGATGTTAAGCCAAATATTGTCCTGATAGCTCAGTAAAAATAAAAAAATTCTAATTTTCTCTCTACAGTCCTTGTTGCCCCTTTAACTGCGAAAACGTTTTAGGGAAAGATCAAATAAACTTACCAATTTAAAAAAAGAATTGGGTAGTATGACAGTATCTCTAGCTTAGCTCAACTAAGATTACTAATCCATATTTTTTAGCAAAGCAGACCAGTAACACCTACACTTTCCTAGTCCACTTATAACTGTACTTGTGAGTCATAGATTCAACCAAACTGTAAGAATTTGTAATTGATATGATAGCCACAAAGTAGAACATTCCAGCTGAGCCCACACAGCACAAAACTATGAATTGATCATAGAATAATTTGTTCCTCATATCGGAAGTAATTATCCTTGACTCTAGTTTTTCTGTTATTGTTAAAATGCAAGAATCAAAAATGCCAATGGTCAAATTTTATATTTTGTGATTTGAAATAAATTGTTTGAGATGTTTTGTTGATAAAATACTCACTCGTTACAACTATTTCCAGACATGTATAGAACATTTTTGAAAATATAAAATAGTTATTATTTTATATTAAAATTTACATGATATGATATGATTTAATGATGCAACAAAAATAGGGTGTTAATAAAGTTACCAATGTGCAAAAAGACACATTTAAAAGACCATTGCTGAGTATAATATAATTCATTAAATTAATAACATGGAAATAATATCAAGGAATAGTTTTTAATATTCATGCTGACACAAGCACAGGCTGGTATCAAAAGATTTGTCCGCTGTGACGGAGCATGCTACTTTTCATAAAAACTCTAAGAATACTTCACAATTTATCTTTTAACTCATATGTTTCGTTATATCAAAGAAAATTACTTACTCCATGCAATGAATATATCATCTGCGGGTAACCTTCACCTCTGTTTGAAGTCTAATAATACTAGGATTAAAAGCCATTGAAAACGGCGCCAGAGTATAAAACTCTAAAATGTACAATTTCTTTTTTTAACTTTTTAATGGCATAATATAGTGACACAATAATATTAACGTATGTTTTCAGAAAAACTCTGAATGTGTTAATGAGATATTGATGTAATGGGTCGTTTTAATTCTTTTATAAAAAACAATGTTTACATTTTTGTCCACTGTCACGGAGCAGTTTCACAGCTCACATTTGCAACTGCTCCGTCACAGCGGACAACAAATTTAAACATTTTCAAAATAGTTTATGTACTCTCAGTCCCAATAACCACACGTATTAGAGAGATGGGCGTGGCACACAATCTAATGACCATGGTCAAAAATTTTCATCAGGTTTTTAGGTTTTAGTGTGTCAAATTGTCAATTGTCAATACTGATACGCGGATTTCTTGAACTCATTTTCTAGAACTAAATAACGCAGATTGAGTGTGACGATGGCAGTATGTCGTGGATGGATGACATCCTAAACTACAGTGATGGACCTCTTTCTGCGTGTACAAATATTACAATGGGGTTGCAGGAAAAAGGTGAATCTCATGAATTGAGCATGGTCCTTTATAAGAATTTCACCAAGTTAAAAAGCTCAGTAATAAATTAGACAACTGAATTGACCCACCAATGTCCATTTTGGAACATTTTTCTGAAGTTTGAAAATTATGAATATTTACTCACCGAGAGGCGTCGAATCAAGACCGAGATATCTTCAGGTCCTAACAGTTGTTGAAAATTCAATTATCAATCTTTAATGTCACGTCATTTTAGGCTCTAAATGGAAGTAGTTGACCCACAAAATAGGTTTTATTCGGAGAGAAAAGTTTTGTAGTTTCACAAACTCCTCTTTAATTTAGATCAATGACAGGCATTATGTCAACCCATATACTAGAATAGCATATCAACCCCGTGCAGTTCCTGTTCATCACTTTGATATATTGAGACAATAAATGAGTAAAATTTAGATAAAATATATTTCCTGAGGTTTATCAGAATAAATAGATAATCATCAAAATTGATACAAACTTAAAAGTAATAAGATTTTTTCTTGTCATAAAAAGTTTTGGCGCATGCGCATCAAGTTGCGTTTTGATTTCCGTTCAAATATTTTTAAAAACATTTTTAGTTATTGTTTGTCTTATCTAGCCTTATTTGGACGAAGTTTGCTCAATAATAAGATGGACCATCAAGTAAGTTGTTTATGTGAAGTTATTGAAAATCAATTCTATGTGTTTTCCCCTAGGCCTAATTGACTCATCTTGAGGCGAGATCATGGGCTTTCAACTAGAAGGGTGGGCAACTTCCCATATTTCATACATAAACATTGCCATGGGTTTTCAAAATGGTTATAATGAAAACACGCGCTACGCGCTAACGCGCCACGCGCCAATGCGCTAGTAGAAAATGATCCTTCCCCCACGATGTGTGCGCATGTTTTAAGCGCATGTTTATGATTGGTCTATACCCTTGGCCCAGGGACATGTATAATTAGGGTTATGACTCCCTGGGAACTTGTCAAAACATTGACACTTCAAAGACTGTATAAATCACCGCTAACCTGTCAATCAGACTTTGATGTGAACTTTGCGGCCGCAGGAAATAAACAAAGCCTCTCGAAAATTACACTTTTCAAGTTACGATTTCTCTAAAAATATAAGACCAATTAAGATGTTCTTCACACCGTTAAAAAACAGAATTCAACTTTAATTTAGGAAATAATTCCAAAACTAAATGAACGTGTACTTTTCTCTGTATTTGACCTGAAAGAACATGAGTAACTTAGAATTAATAAATATTTACGGCCAATTACTGGACAATGATAAAACACGCTGGTCAGGTTTACATTACTTTTTAAATCGTCTCTTATTCACCCTATGCAGACAGAGCCTGTGGGAAATATTGGGTGCGGAGCAAATGAGCGGAGGGTGCGGAGCTAACGGTTATTTTTGAATTTAAATTTGGGATATTTCTGAAACTAAGCCGTTTTGGGACTTCAAATATACCAAGATATGTGTATTTGACACCAAATATCAATACAATTGTGAAAATAGTAGCGCAATTCATTCTATAGCGACGCAGTGTGCCTTAAACCTTTCCCAGACCTATATATTTTGAAATTATCCTTTTAATACTGAGTCCCCAGCATTCATAAAAAATGGTGTTCAAGGTGCACTATCTATACAAATTATTTTTGCATCTTGGAAGCCAGGCAGTATCTGTGTGATTTTATAAAAATTCGGAAATTTTTTCAGATATGAGCCCCCTCTAAATATTGGGTGCGGAGCAGCTCCATAAACGTAGCTCCACACCCAATATTTAGAGGGGCTCATATCTGAAGAACATTTCCGAATTTTTATAAAATCACACAGATACTGCCTGGCTTCCAAGATGCAAAAATAATTTGCATGGGTAGTGTATCTTGAACACCATTTTTTATGAATGCTGGGGACGCAGTATTAAAAGGATAGTCTCAAAATATATAGGTCTGGGAAATGTTTAAGGCATACTGTGTCGCTATAAAATGAATTGCACTACTATTTTCACAATTTTATTGATATTTGGTTTCAAATACACATATCTTGGTATATTTGAAGTCCCAAAACGGCTTAGTTTCAGAAATATCCCAATTTTAAATTCAAAAATGACCGTTAGCTCCGCACCCTCCGCTCATTTGCGCCGCACCCAATATTTCCCACAGGCTCTGTCTGCATAGGGTGTTATTTAAAACTTTAATTCCAAATGAAATACAATCCTGTTTTCAACAATATTCCTGGTAAAATAGGTAATACAATTCACTGGGATTACTCCCGTCGAGAGCTACTTAGATTTTGAAAGTATAGCTCTCTATCGCTAGAATCAACAGCTTAAGAATCCTGACTTCAAAGAAAATTTCAGGGAATTCAGCTGACTCATGTTGCACATTATATACCTGAAAATGTATCCTACATCGCATCTTTCATTCAGCTCAACTATAGAACGTCTCACTGCCATATGTATCGATCAGGACTTCATTTTATTGGTCGTGTCAAAAGTTTTGGCCAGGTATATTCAATATGGCGGCTTGACGTTTCCCAAGTTGCGCATGCGTCGATAGTATTTCCGTTTAACCGCCATATTGGAAATGGGTATCGAACAAAAAACGATTAGAACTCCTGATCGCCATAGAAGCACATCCGCGATCCTACATGCACGGGGAAAGTAGACACATATGAGCCCATATGTAGGCTACAGTTTGAGACAAACAGCAAGCCGTTGACTGGCGCTGATCAAATTTAGATGTCACAATTCTTCAGCTGGGAGATCCTCACGATGGAGAGCTATACTTTCAAAATCTAACATGGTAGCTCTCGACGTGAGTAACACTGGGACTGACGTAATTCAAAACTTTTTAAATCTAAAATCAAATTGAGAAAAACGAAAGCAAACATGAAAGGGGGGTTTTTAGGGGTCTTGGAAATCCATATTCACTATTTTTCACTAGCCCCTCAGTCTTATACCATTTACAGCATTTTTCACCCCTTTTACATGTATTTAACATACAGTGTGTGCAATATTTTTCACATCTCCCTATAGTACTATATTTTACAAAAAGCTCGGGTAAATAATATATCTGTACGATAATTTTGAAATTACCGTTGAAAAAAGTTTGGATAATATTCAGAAGGAAATAACATAATGCAAGAATCCACGTAGTACCAAATGTATAATCATACGGCAAATAGGCAGTACACAGGCCTGAAGCCAGGGGGGTTCGGAGGGTGACTTTGGAATTTTTGAAAAAGTGACCCCCCCCCCCACCCCTGGGAAATCCTGGTTACTGTCCTGGCATATGGCATATAGAGACTACTATATAGAGATCTGGATTACCCCCATAAATGTGGGACTGATTTTTCAAATCACCCCCCACAACCAGGCCCGTAGCCAGAGGGGGAGCTGGGGGAGCGGAGCTCCCCCTCTGGCCAGAGATTCTTTCAAAATCATGCAGTTTTTCACCATTCTGAGAATTTTTTGTATGATTATTAGCCAAAATTATGAAAAAGCTTCCCCTGGAAAAAAGGCTCCCCCTCCTGGTAAAAGCTGGCTACGGGCAAGTCCCCACAACTACTTGTGTATTGAAATCCCAAATTTATGGGGATAAGCTGGATCTGCAGTATTCGTTCAAACTGCGAGTTTAAATTTCATAATAGGCTTCTTTAATTCTTTTAAAACATATGTTTATTTAACTTATACGATGCCATATACGATAAATGTTACCCCCTCTTATGCAGTCATACAATAGATTTTCACCCTCCTCTTATACGATAACCCTATACACCCCCCCCCCATGAAAGCGAAAGAGGTGTAACCGGGCACGAAAAGAAAAATGGAAAAATATAAATGCGACGCCTGCAAATTATCCCACCGTTTGGTAAGTCTGAGAGATATAACTTCAAATACAAAGAGTAAAGATATATAAAACATCCATGACTTGATATTAAGAGGTAACATGCGACAAATAAACATTATATTAATTAAGTCATTGTAGATGAGTAGCCAGATTGCATAAAGTCTTCAAATAAAGAAGTTTAAACCTCCAAAAGGTTACCGGCTAATCTTGGTACCGTTGGAAAGCTTAACATCTGCACTAATATGCTTGATGACTAAAAACATTCAGAACAGGTGGAAAAGTTCTTTAAAATGCTGGTTTCCATGGTAACTGCAATGTTGTCACTATTAAGGCCCATGAATATACTTTTGAACATATCTAGAGAACGCTTTGACCATATGTAATGATAAAAGTATCACTGTAAAGATAATTTGACACCGTTTTTGAAAAAACGCATTTCTATGATTTATGGGTCTATTGTGATGTCACAGAACTAGAAACGCTGGATTTTTGGTGATTTTGACAGAAGTTATACATGTATCACGTGCCTTTGTAAGCCATGCAGTGTTTAAAGTAAACATTTTTTTGTTTATAAGTCACTTAAAATAACACTTATAATATCAGTATATTAAGTAATCAATATCATCATGATTATGATGTCATAATGCAAAAGAATAGAGGCCTTATTTAAATATCTAATATCGATATTCTACAAATTCAAATATATTTGAGGCCGAGGATTTATACATTTTATAATTTTTCAAGATGATTTAAAAAGCTTCAATCATATGTCAGGTTTGATATGTGGACGAAAAGGTTACTGGCTAATTGTGGTACCGTTTGAAAGCTTTGCATCTGTATTAACATCTTGATAACTAAAATGAATCAAAACTGGTGAGATATTAATAAAAATGTTGGTTTCTATGGTAACTGCAATACTGTCACTATTAAAGCTCGGGGATATACTTTTGAAGATATCTAGAGAAGGTTTTGACCAAAAATCATTTTAAAAGTTTCATTGTAAAGGTAATTTAACGAACTTGTTGAAACTACATATATTTTAGGTTTTTTGGACTCATTGTGATGTCATAGAACAAGAAACGCTGTTTTTTTGGCGATTTTAACAGAATGTATAGATGTGTCACATCCCTTTGTTAGCCATAGTGACCTTTTTTTAATCTATCGGAGAAAAGGTTGCATCGTTTAACCAGAATATTATAACATTGAAATGAACTAATTTATACTAACTCAAGTTTTGTTTTAAAACACCGTTAGGTTGCTATGGAGACTACTTAATATGTATATACAAGTGTGTACATAAATATGATGAAGTACTGTATACTGGTATGGAGTTGTGATTAATACGGCTGCATATGTAGAACAATGAATACTATATACTGTGTAATTAATGGTTGTAAGTGATCAAATGTATGTGCAATCACATTGGTGAGGATTAGATAGGCATATTGAAATATATATTAGTGTGATGTCACAATATGAGATTAACACAATAAGCAGATTTAATTCAAAGTTGAGGATCAAAGTAAGTCCATGGAGGCAGAGGAGATATTATCTTACTTTCTAAATGTACTAACGTCTTCTTTATATAAACTACAAAGACTGCCTCCTACAATTTTACTACTGACATTACACAGCTGTCACCAGGGTCCCACATTTTTACCTTTGGAAAGATGTCTTGAGGCAGATTGAAATTGGCTATGGTACTAGTATTAAATGTTGTTATTTATCTTCAAAATGGAGGAAAATGGATGTAATATAATAATTATAATAATTGATCACAATTATAAGTCTCCATGCTAAAGT